TGATAACACTTATTATCAGAAATTGATTCATAGGAATGAGTTCATTCAATTTTTGAGAAAAAGGTGTTAATAAACCCTCTACTCAATCACTGTGTGTGGACTTTTGTATATGTTTGGAAAAAAACAATAAAACTTCCACTTGATTTTTTTTTCAAGAGGAATAAGTATTTTGTTACCATTATCATCGGGGTAAAATAAAATGAAAGACAATTAAATAGAGTCTTTCACCATATCTGAGCCAGTATTTTGAAGCTCAATACACTTTTACTTCAGGAAGGAAAGTTCACATCAGTAATAAGGTGATTCATCTTTCCTTAATCAATGAACAATTAATCTTCATTAGTATACTCAGATCAGTTGAAATGTGGAATGTGATGCTGGATCTTAGCAAGGAAGCCTCAAATACAATGGAAGTCATTAAAATTACATTACATTTGGCATTCTTGACGAGGCCAAGCTGGCACCAATTCCACAGTAATCATAAGCACTGAGGCTCATGGCTGAGTCATTCAGAGACTATGGACAAATGTGTTCGTTTAAGTATCATCACCTGCTCCCAAGGCCAAAGTATAAACTTCCGGTGACTCTAAGGGTCTAAGGATGGTTCCCTTTAGTGATCCTTACACAGGTCACATTTTTGCCTCATTCACCTTTGTTCATACTTTGGGGCCCAGAACCACTGGGTTCTGATCCCATTAACTCTAAGGTACCTTGCTCAACCACTCCAGCTTGTAGAGATATCCCTATTAGTCCAGTTATTTTCTGTCTGTCACTTAGGGGCATCATTATGTCATTATTAGCATTATCATCACTGTTCTTACATATTGAATGCTTAGTATATATAAGGCTATCTCATAGGACATGCATCTTTGTCATTTCAACCGTAAGTTGATCATCTTATTTTCACCTTACAGATATGAAAACTCAAATTCTCATTAAAAAGTTTGCCCGAAATTAGGCTTCTCTGCTTCCAAAATGACACACTGGTATTTCAGTCAGTTATAAGTTACATTCTCTTTTGTTGTTTTTGCCTCTTTCTAGCATACAATGCTGTCAGGTCCCTGAGGGCAGTGATCATGCCATATATTTCTAGATATCTTTAGACTTCAACACATACGGAACACAGTAGGATCGGTAAAGCCTTGATAAGTGCAGTGGGTTTTGACTCTAGTCCAATCCTACTAATTCTTGGTGTCTCATATCAACTTATTTGATACAAGAATTATCTGTAAACCTAGAAGTAATTTTCAAGACCACATGGTTGGATTCGGTAGATAGCAAGCTCTTATAGACTGTTTATCCTTCTAATCATACACAGAAATAGAAGAGAAGCCGGAGTAAGGCCTTGAAAAGACCAAGTCGACTCATCAAATATATGTCTCTATCAGTCTTGTGAAATAGTCTTTTTTTTTAAGACTTCAATTTAATTAGGATTCCGTCTTCCATTGAGATAACATCTTCAACTGGTTTAGTCCTTTCTTGTACCTTCTTGCATCCTGAGAGGTAGTAATGGTTTTCATTTTACTTTCTGGTCTTACAACAGGTTAAACAGCTAGTGTCAGTTTTACTTTCCCTGACCAGGGCCTGCAGCAGTAGGAGTAGGGGAAGGTCAGGGAACTGGCTTGCAGTCATCTGCAATGCTTCTCACCCTCACTCTCCACAGCTTCATGCCTTCTTTCCTGTTGTCTTGATCCATCCTTTTACTCTCAAAGATTGTATGATCTGTGGCTAGAATTCTAAAATAATTTCACATTTTATAGATGTATTTCATTAGAGACATTTATGAAATATCAAGTCTGTCCTTAAAATGCAGTTCAACAGCTTTTTACTTTATATGTCTTTGGTGTACCTCTGTTTTGTTTGCTATGAAAAATAGCTGGAAAAAAAAAGAAAAAAAGAAAAATAGCTGGAAACGAAAGTTGGTTTTATTTTTCTTCTTAATTACAGTTATTAATGAAGACTATAAGTTTTTAAAAAATAAATACGCTAAAGCCAATAAATAAAGATTACAGATTTTTTAGCATCAATGTATTCAACATTGAATTTCAACAGAGTAACACAAGTCCTATGATTACAGTCAATAAATGACCCAATACAAATCGGCATGTCATGAATTTTTTGGAAGGCTGAGTCTCTTGATTGGGGATGCATTTGGCAGAGCCAAAGACTTGAAGAGTCAATGACTGTAAATGACCCTTCAAATTTTACTACCATTTTATCTAAAGTGGTCACCTAATTCCAACTGGTTCTAAGCTTTTCCCATCTGAGTCTACTTCCAAGAAAGAATGTTTTCATTGGGATAATCTGGGGATATTTTTATCCAGGCATTCATTACACCAGGAGGATTTTTGTTTTCTTTTTGAATAAAAATAAAGTAGCCAGTTCCGTTTTTCTTATGTATTAATTTTTAAAATAATTTGCGGTTGGGCGCGTGGCTCACACCTGTAATCTCAGCACTTTGGGAGGCGAAGGTGGGCAGATCACCTGAGGTCAGGAGATTGAGACCAGTCAGGCCAACATGATGAAACCCTGTCTTTACTAAAAATGCAAAAATTAGCCAGGCATGGTGCCACGTGCCTGTAGTCCCAGCTATTTAAGAGGCTGAGGCAGGAGAGTCACTTAAACCCAGGAGGCGGAGGTTTCAGTGAGCCGAGATCATGCCACTGCAATCCAGCCTGGGTGACAGAATGAGACTCCATCTCAAGAAAATAAAATAAAATAATAAAATAAAATAAAAAATTCGCTAGCAAAGAATAAAATATGGCACACAAAAGTGCATCATTTTATTAATTTATTTATTTTAAGAGAAAAGAGACAAATACACTCTCACTTACCTGTATAAAAATAAACCTCTGATATCCAAATTATTGCCCCTACTGATTTAATTAATCAGTATTAATTTTAATATACAACTCTATATTTAATACTTGTGTAATTTATAACATTTTAATATTCTGTTACATAAAATAAAAACTGAGAAATTATATATTACTAATAAGCTACTTCATCTAAATAATTATTCTGTTCACTGATATCTAAAACTGAGAACATGGGTTTTTGATTTAGAAATCTTAGGTCCAAATTTTCAAGTTTTATGTATTTAAATCATTTAATCTCCCTGAGTCTCAGTTTAACTATCTGTAAAATGGGGACAGTAATATCTACACCAAAAAAATTATCCTGGATGTCCAATAAGATTAGATAACATGCTGAGAGGTAGTCCAGGACGATAAAGAGTATGGAACCTGAGCCAGGCAACTTACTTCACTTCTTTGTTTGTCAGTCTCTCTGTCTGTACAATGAAAATGATGGTTATGGGGTCAGGTGTTAATATATGGAAAGTGTTTAAAATAATGTGAATTTCAGTAAGTCTGCTTAAGTATGGGTATTATTATTATTTCATGTGAAAGTACTTAGCATACACCATGGAACATAGTTCTACTTTCCTCTTGTCTTGTTATTAACAGATTGGTTTCTCATTTAACTATTATCACTTGACAATGGTGGCTACAGAATTTCTTTATGGGGTATGGAGTGGGAGTGGGAGAAACCTGGTAGAAAAAAAAAAGCTGGTATATAAAAAGAATTTTGTCTTGAGACTATGTTTGCACACTTGTTTAAATAGGATCAAAAAAATGTTATTTCTCAGAGGAAACTATTGAGAAAGGTAACTGCAGAGGGTAACCTACTTAACACTCCGGATCATGCAAATATTTCCAAGCAGCACAATAGTGATCAAAATAATGAATTCTCAGTTTATCAATCCAGTATTTTCCGTATTTTTCCATTGCTTAGCACAAAACAATAATGGGAACTTAAAATACGTGAATTGATTGGTGTTTGGTCCATTTAAGTGATCCACAGAAATTCATTCTACCCAAGACATTCTTTCTAAGACACATGTAAAAATGGCACCCTCTTCATTTATTATTGATGTCAAGATTAAAAGAATTACAATCCATATAAAAAATTGTATCCCAATCTAAAATATTGTGATTTGCTTTTGTATATGGGGTTAATATGTTAGGTAACAAACTTTGATATCCTGAAAATGAATTTGTAAAAGTCAATGCCATATTTCTTTTATGTATAACACATAAACACAACACACACAAAGCAACACACACACACACACATTTTCTACACAGCAAATGTCTATGATAAGATCAACCCAGCAGCAACGAGCACCCCAATACTCAGATTTTCCCTCCCATTACCATTTTCTATAAGAAGGAAAAAGTAATATTTTAAGTGGTTGCTAATTCCAGATGTGAGACAAGAAATATATGAAATTATCCTGGCACAAGCAAGAAAGCTATCAAGGATACTCAGCAACCAACTTGAATAAACCCTTTTTAATCCAAGATAGCACAACTGAGCATCAATAAAGATATGTCTGCAATGCACTGTAAAACATTAAGTATGTTTAAATCCAGGCACCTTTGATAATTCTTAGACAAAAATGAGTCATCTCTGGAAGATGCTAGGGTTCCACCTCTTCATTTAAACAATTGATAAACTAGGGAGGAAATAAACAATTGATTCTGTCCTTCCTACATGAGCTATACCACAGAGTAACCACATATGAGATAAGGGGAAAATTCACTTTTTTGATGTTTTAGGGTAGCAAATTAAGACAAAATAATCAATTGATGTAAAGTAGAAGCATAGAGATAAAACAACAGTTGACATAAGTATATAATTGTTAACACTAAAAGGTGGGTTCATGAGCATTACATTATTATGCTATACAGTGTCTTTTATATATGTTGATATTTTCATAATATGCAGTTAAAGAGAAATAATATTATCCTGGTGACAAGTAGCTTGGTAGTAAGACTTTAAGAAATGTAGCATGAATTCTCTAAATGTATTCTTTTTCAGGATTATATTGGCTATTATTTTTTGTTTCCATATATATTTAGAATCAACTAAGCTATTTCTACAACACGGATCATTTTTATATCACTGAATCTATAGATCATTTGGGCAGAACTCACATTTTAACACGTTTGAATCTTCCAATCCATGAACATCTCTTCATTCATTAAGTCTTCTGTGAACTTTTTAATATGGTTTATACTTTTTGGTGCTGCATTCTTCCACATATTTTGTTATATTTATCCATGAAGTTTGTCTTGTTTTTCCTATTTAAATTGTATTTGAAATTTTTAATTTAATTTGTTTTCATCAAATATATAAAACTACAAGTAATATTTGTTTGTATTTTGACTTTGCATCCTGCAAATTTGACTTACCAGATTTGTACTTACCATTGCTAGTAATTGCCTTGTAGATTCCTTAGCATTATTATGTGTAATAGAAATATATGTGCACACTTTCACATAGTGTGCAAGTACAGACTTTTGCTTTTCCTTTCTAATTTTTATGCTTTAATTGCCTTATATTGCTTTATTGCAAGTGCAATATTAAGTAGAAGTAGTGGATGCATGGAATTTTGCCTTTCTCCAATCTTGGGAAAATGTTCAATATTTCACCACTAAAACTGATGTTAGCTATAGATCATAGCTATACTTAAATGCTGCTTATCAGATTGAAGACATTTTCTTTTCTGCCTAGCTTCCTAGGGGTTTTAGAAAAATGTTTGCTGTTGTTGTTATTATTTTTTAATTGTAGAGAAGAGGACAATGTTTTCGTCAGGTTTTGGTATCCAGGTTATGCTAGCCTTATTAAAATGAATCAAAAAGTGTTTCTTCCTCTATTTTCTGAAAGAATTTGTGTAATGCTGGCTTTTTTCTTTACTAAATATTTAATAAATTTCAGCATGAAAATTATCTGAGCCTGAGATTTTCTTTATGGAAAAGTTTTTTAAATTATAAATTTAATTCATTTAACATATTCATTATACATTTATTTAATAAATGTAGTTCTATTTTAATTTTTTATTTCCTTTTATGCCAATTTGGGTAAATTATATTTTAAGGAATTTGTGTATTTCATATAAATTGTTGATAGTGTTGAAATAAGTAATTCATAATATTATCTTACTATCCTTTTAATATCTAAATCATATATAATGATGTTCCTTCTTTCAACCATATTTATTTCTCTAGTGTTTTTCTTTAAACAGTCTTATTAGAAGTTTATTAGCTTTATTAATATTTTCAAATAATTCACATTTTGCTCTATTCATTTCTCTCTTGTTCATCTAATTTTTATTTCACTTGTTCTGCCTCTATCTTTGTTATTTCTTTCCTTCTACTTAACTTTGCATTTAATGTCCTCTTTATCTAGTTTAAGAAGGCAGCTTAGGTCATTTTTTATAAATGTTTTATCTTTTCTAATATAAAACTATAAATTTTTCTCCAAGCACTGTCTTAGCTGCATCACATAAGTGTTTAGATGATAAATTGTAATTATTATTGCTCAAAATATATTCTAATTTCCCTTGTAATTTATTCTGTAACCTATTGGTTACATAGAAAATATTCTTTAATTTCCAAATACCTAGAATATTTCTAGATTTGTTATTGTTATTGATTTCTAATTTAATTCTGGAGGACATTCTCTATAAAATTTAATCTTTTAAAATATGTTGAAACTTACTTTTAGCCCATTTATATGGTATATCTCTCTAAATAATCAATGATTATATGAAAAGAATAAAAGAATATGTAATCCTGTAGTTATTAAACTGGTGTCCTATAAATTGTTAAGTCAACTTGGTTGCTAGTGTTACAGAAATCCATTGTCTCAATAATTTTTTTGTCTACTTTTTCTGCCAATTACTGAAAAAAGTACCTCCCATTATTATCGTAAATTTGTCTGTCTCTTCTTTCTATTCTGTAAATTTTGCCTACACATTTTGAGCATCTATTATTTGGTGCATATATATTTATGATTGTTGTGTCTTCCTAGTTAATTGCACCCTTCCTCATTATTAAATACCCCCTCTTTTTCTCTTGTAATCCTCCTTGCCTCTGGCAATCCTTATGCCTTAAAAGACTACTTAATCTAGCCAGGCATGGTGGCTCATGCCTGTAATCTCAACACTTCGGAAGGTGGAGGCTGGTGGATTACCTGAGGTCAGGAGTTTGAGAGCAGCCTGGCCAACATGGTGAAACCCTGTCTCTACTAAAAATATAAAAATTAGCTCAGCATGGTGTGCTAATTGTATGCCTGTGGTCCCAGCTACTCGGGAGGCTGAGGCAGGAGAATCTCTTGAACCCTGGAGAAGGAGGTTGTAGTAAACCAAGTTCATGCCACTGCACTCCATCCAGCCTGGGTGACAGAGCAAGACTCTGTTTCAAAAAAAAAGGAAAAGAAAAGACTACTTAATCTCATATCAACATAGCCACACCAGCTTTCTTGTACTTACTCTATGCATAATATATTTTCCATACATTAACTTTCAATTTCTAATGCTTCTATGTTAAGATATATCTCTTTAAATGTAACTAAATCTTGTTTTTATCCAGTCAGAAAGTCTCTGAATTTTCATATTATTTAGTATATTTCCATTAATACAGTTATGATATGAGTGAGTTTAAAGGTACCATCTTGTTATTTGTTTTCTATTTAGCCCATCTGATTTTTGTTCCTCTTTTCTTTACTTCTTTGTTGTCAATATAATATTTTTTCAGAATTCCATTCTATTTCCTTCTTAGACTTTTCTGTATACCTCTGAATATTACTGTTTTAGCCCTAGTTATCAAAATATATAATTTATCACAGTCTACTTTGAACAAATATTGTATCACTTCACATAAAATATAGGAATCTTTTAACATTATAATTAATATAATGTCCACATATTCATCCCTCATCATGAGTATTCTTGTTGCTTATATTTTACTTATAACTGTGTTTAAAATGTACATTAAAATGTTACTACTATTGCATTAAACAGACCATAGTCTTACAAAATTTCTAAGGAAAGTAGAAAGTTTCATACTTACCCACATATTTATCATTTCTAGTTCTTTTCATTTCTTGCTGTAGAGCTGATTTTCCATTTAGTATCATTTCTAAAGAACTTTCTTTAGCATATTTTATAGTCCCAGTCTTCTGGCAAAGAATTCTCTCAGAATTTTTTTTTTACCCAAACTGCCTTTAATTTGTCTTCTTTTTATTTTTAATTTTTGTAAGTATATAGTAGGTATATACATTTATGGGGTACATGAGATATTTTGATACAGGCATGTAATGCATAATAATCACATCAGGATAAATGGGGTATCTATTTATCTACCTCAAGCATTTTTTACTTCTTTGTGTTACAAACAATTCAATTGTTCTATTTTAGTTATTTTTAAATGTGCAATAAATTATTCTTGACTGTAGTAATTCTGTTGTACTATCAAATACGAGATCTTATTCATTCTATCTAACTACATTTTTGTGCCCATAAACCATCATCCTCTTTCTCCTTTCCCCCTACCCCCACTACCCTTCCCAGCCTCTGGTAACCATCATTCTATTCTCTATCTCCCTGAGTTCAATTGTTTTAATTTTTTAGCTCCCACAAGTAAGTGAGAATATACAAGCTTTGTTTTTCTGTACCTTAAGGTGCCTTCAGTTTTGAAGAATGTTTTCCGGATGTTAAACTCTGGACTGAGTGTTTCATTTACTTTGGGCACATTAAAAGTATTTTTCAATTGTGTTGTAATCTTCCTGGTTTCTGATGAAAGGTCAGTCATAATTTGTGTATTGTCATTTCCTTGTACGCAATGCTCTTTTTTCTATTATTAAGATAGCTTTTAATTTGTATTATTAAACATTTCATCTGTAATGTACCTAGGTTTTCTTTGTATATCTTTTTCCTGGGGATTACTGACCTTCTTAAACCTGTACTTTGATTATTTTCACCAAAGTGTGAAATTCTCAGCCATTATTTCTTTAAATGTTTTTGTTCTATTTTCCTTTTCCTCTTATAAACTCCCATTACCAATAACTGAGACCACTTGATATGTCCCACAAGTCACTGAGTCTCTCATCATTTATTTTCAGTCTATTTTTACTCTGTTCTTCATCTTTGATTATTACAAATGATCTTTTCAGGTTTGCTAGCGATGTTTCCTATAATATACAATATACTGGTAATGTGAATTTCTCATTTCAGATATTTTCCTTTTGAGTTCTAAAATTGCCATGTGGTTTTTTTTTTTATAGATTACCTTTTTCTGCTTAGATTCCCCATCTATTCACTCATTCTGTCTTCTTTTTCTTCAAATCTTTGAACATACTTATAATGGTTGCTTTAAAGGCAATGTTTGCTAATTCCAACATCTGGGTTATTTCAGTCTCTGCTCCTAGTGACAAACTTTTGTTATTTGATCATCAATCATATTTTCCTGCTTAGTTGCATGTCTGGTAATTTTTAAATTTATGTTGTAGAGAGCATAGATTATGTTTTCTGCCGTATTTATTTTCAGCAAGACAATTAAATTACTGGAAGGTCTTCTTAACCTTATAAAACTGTTTATGTTTAGTGAGGACTACTCTGTTTTAGATTTTGCTTTAGTCCTAGAATATGGTTCTTTCTCTAGGGCACACTATTTATAGGCTTAGGCATGGCCTTTCTCATGCCTCCATGTAATGCCAGAGGTACCTGGAAAGGTCTTATCACTTATGGTGGGCCAGAAACCCACCAAGTTTCAGCCTTGCATGACCTCTAATAGCTTTGCTCACCTCTCAGCCCCAGAGCAAGCCATCTCTTCTAGACTTCAGAAAGCCTTGCCCTATTTATACACACCCTGGCACTTGGGAAACAACTCAAAGTAATTTCCCCAGCTGACTTATCGGCCCCTCCTTTACACAGGTCTCTCCTCTCAAATACCTTTTTCGTTAAAATCTAGTCACTTCAGCATCTCGAAATTTTGATCTCTGCCTTTTCATCAGCTGAACTGTGGCTGTGCTTGGACTCTACCTCCTGCCATTGGGAAAAATGTTCTTAGCAGGAAGGTGAGGTAAATGCATTTTGCCTTATGAAGGTCCCTTCTTTCAAGGACCGTGGTTCTATGCAGCCTATTGTTAGATGTTTGAGAACAGTTACCTCATATTTTTTTTGCCCAGGCCTACTGTTCTTTAGAAGGGACATGATAAGTCTAATACCAGTTACTTTACCATGTCCAGAAGCAGAAGTTCTCATTTTATGTTTTTAAAGGGAAAAGCCTTTTAAAGGGAAGAGCCTAATCACATTTGCTCCTTTTGTATTTTAACCTGGCTCTGTTACAGAGGTTGGATATGGAAAAGCAAGAAGACCTTTAAGAAGAATATTGCAGTAGTCCAGATGTCAGATAAGGATTGTGGTAGTAGAGATGGAGGAGAGACAAATTTGAGAAACACTTAGAATGTAAAACCAGCAGGAGAGTAAGAAAATATAAAGGCTGGATTTGCAAGGCCAAACCTGCTGATGTCTTCAATGCTATGGCAAACCCCTTCAGTCTAAGTGTTTGTTTCCCAAGGCATCGTCTTTTAAGTAACGTAAAATACTTTATTTGGTTTAAATATTATGTCAACAAACTTACCAATAATTGATTTGCACAGTTCAATCCAAACCAGTTTGCATGTGTTTATAGCCCTTCTGTTCTCAGCCAGCATCCCAAAATTCACAATGTCAGCATGACAATCTCAGATCTCAGAGTTTAGCTTTTCATTCAAAAAGTTAATTGAGGTTTGTGTGAATAGGGAAAATAATTAATTTATTATTCTCATGTCCTATTTCAGGCTTATCTCAGGGAAGTACTACTATGAACATCCTGTGCAATGATGGGAGTGGGATAATTGTAAAACACAACATTCACTGAGCACTTCTATGTGAACTATGTTAAATGCTTTATTTAAATCATTTCATTTTATCGTTATGATAACTTGTGAAATGGGATCTATTATTATATTCCTTATAAAGAGGAAAAACCCCATGGCATAGTGAGTAATTGGCATACCTGAAATACAAATTGTGGTCAGTTTGACTTCTAATATAGTTTCACAGCATCTCATTCAACCACTGTGCTAGAAATAAGAGGTTTCGGTCAGGAGAGAAAAATGGGCAGGAATCCAAAACTGGTTTCTTGATTCAAAAGTTGGGTACTTTACTCATGAAAATGTCAGGCAGCATAAAATGTAAGTGGAGTAGATGCGATGAGTCAACATAGGCAGATCTGAGATGAAAGGCATTCGATTTGGCACACAGATGCTAGCAGAAGGAGGGCAGCCACTTGGCCCCATGGTCATTTTCTATCTTTTTCTTCCCAGCAGGGTACCAGTTTTGTATGGCTGTTCTTCCCAGCAGCCACGTGCTTTGGAAAGGGACCTCTCTCAGTTCCAAAATATAAATTTTGGGGCCAGGCGGGGTGGCTCACCCCTGTAATCCCAGCACTTTGAGAGGCCTAGGCAGGCAGATCATGAGGTCAGGAGATCGAGACCATCCTGGCTAACATGGTGAAACCTCGTCTCTACTAAAAATACAAAAATTTAGCCGGGCATGGTGACGGGTGCCTGTAGTCCCAGCTACTCGGGAGGCTGAGGCAGGAGAATGTCATGAACCCGGGAGGTGGAGCTTGCAGTGAGCCGATATGGCGCCAATGCACTCAAGCCTGGGCGACTGAGTGAGACTCCGTCTCAAAAAATAAATAAAATAAAAATAAATAAATAAATAAATTTTGGATAGCCCAAGCCAGTCACAGTCATTCTGCCCTCCTTGCCAGTAATTAGCCATGAGTATGTGATGCAGTTCTCTCTAGTGAAAAGTAAAGGGGGGAAAAAAAAAAAAAGCAAGTTTCCTCTAGGGTCAGTGTGGAGGTACAACAAAACCATCCTTCCTTGATAAGGAGTGACCTGTGAAGGAAGTGTCTCATTCCTCTGCCTGTGTTGAGGTACATGAGGATGTGATGCCTGGGAAGCTAAGAGCCAGACTAGGACCACGAATAGATGAGCCAACCTGCCAATGTGGCAGAGCAGAAAGGCCGAATGGACCTGGATCTTGGATCATTTCTTTGAGGCATGTAATTAATAAACCTTACACTTATTTTTCATGCTGTAATACATTTCTTCATTATTTAACCACTATTAGTTACACATTCTGTTACTTAATACTGAAAGCATCTTAACAGATACTGAACGTTTCCTGTTGGCTTAGACCAGAGGTGGACAAATGTACTCTGTAAAATGGCCAGATAATTAAGTATTTTCTGCTTTTCATCCCATACAGATTCTATCTCAAAGATCTAACTCTTCCATTATAGCATGAGAGCTGCAAAAAAAATTATGTAAATGAACGTGTATGGCTGTATTCCAATAAAACTTTATTTATAAAAACAGGGGGCTAGATTTGGCCCATAGGCCATAGATGGCCAACCCTGACTTAATAAATTCACATGCACCTAACTTAGTAAATTTAGACACAATCTCTTTGGTCAGCTCTAGGCTGAATAGATTTGGGGATACACCTACCAGTCTCTATCACAGTACTTTTATCCAACCAACTGACCCATGAATGTCACAGAGCATTCAGGACCAACATTATTCCATATACTTACTCTGACAATAGGGTTCAGTCTTCTACTTAGTACTTCCCATTTAACAAGCATGAAGTTGTCTACATATTTTTTTGAAATACTCATAAAACAATTGCCTTTCCTATATATTTTTGAAGAGATTAGAGAGTAGTCTGACACAGAAGGGATGTTAAATAAATATTTCATACATATGTAAATAATGAAGAAGTAGAGAAACAGACGAATGAATGAATGAACAAAAATAGTGAGCAGAGATTGAACTGATAAAGACCTTAAGATAAAGTTCTATGACTAGGCAAAAGGAAGAGAATTTGGGGGGATGGAAAAGCAGAATATATTAATGAGTTAGATAGAATAATGTCTCCCCAAATATGTTCATGTCCTAATTTTCAGAAACCATGAATTTGTTCCCTTCCATGGAAAAAAGGACTTTGCAGAAGTGATTAAGATTACAGATTTTGAGCTAGGGAGATTATCCCAGATTATTCAGGTTGCCCAATGTAATCAAATGAGCCATTAATCGTAGAATTTCTCCCAGTTGTGGTCAAAAAGTATGATGATGAAAGAAGAGTTGAAGAGGTGGGATGTTGCTGGCTTTGAAGATGAAGGGGTCTTGAGTCAAGGAAAGTGGGCAGCC